CCCATGTTGTTAGATTCTTAGATTCTCCACAAAATTTTGAAGAAAGGAGAGCTAAAGGGTCTTTTTCAGATTCCTTTGTTGTTGCAGTTTCGTGTTTAGATCGTTTCGTGTTACCACAAAAAGCGGAGAGATTTCGTGTTCTGGATTTTGGGGGTTTTTCTTCTTCAAGCATATTGGGATCTTTATCTGATCCTGGATTTCTTCTTAATTTTCTCAAGGTAAGACGTGATGATTTGTATAATCTCTAGAGCTAATTTGTAGCTGGAAAATTACTTTAATTGGTTTCTGATTTCGTTTCTAATATCAAATTTCGTCTTGAAAGAAATAGAGAGCCATGGAGACTTTTTTGCAGGTTTTTTAGGGTTTAATCATTGTTGGTAAATTCATAAATGCTTGTTGCTCTGTTGCTTTTGATGTTTGGAATTGAGCTAGTGAAAACAATTTCGTTTATGTGTGGTTTGATATGATTTTGCAGGTGAAAGGATTTTTAGCTGTATTTCTTATGAGCAGATAGTTTATTTAGGCATTATGGGTTGGTTTAACAAGATATTCAAAGGCTCTAACCAAAGGCTCCGGGTGGGGAATGAGCACAATCACAATGGTTATTACGGGAATTATCCGAATGCATGTTCTTCACATGATGAGCCAAGTGCAGATACGGATGCTGATCATGATGATAATCATACACAGGAGCCATCTACATCTGAGGTTAGTATGATGCAGATGGTTAGTGTTGACTTTGGGTTTAATCTTTTGCCGAGTTGGGAGATCTTGAAACAGTTGAAAAACATAAACTTTATTGGATTATATGTAGCTCTGGTTTGTACTGTTACTTCATTTTGGTGGTTTTTCTTTACTAGGATACATCGAATGACCAGGAAAATGAAGACATAGACCGTGCAATTGCATTGTCTCTTTTAGAAGAGAATCAAGAACAGACAAATACAGGCGGTGGTGAGTCCATTTTTTGGATTGTTTAAGCCGAACGGAAAATGAAGACATAGATTTGTTATCATACATGGTTTGCAATTTTTTAAAAGATATATATAATGGACACAGGGAAATACGTGGATGAAGATGAGCAACTTGCTAGAGCCATACAAGAAAGTATGATAGTCGGGAATTCTCCGCGTCACAAAATTGGAAGTACATATGATAATGGGAATGCATATGGAACTGGAGATTTGTATGGTAATGGACATATGTATGGAGGAGGAAATGTATATGCAAATGGAGATATTTATTATCCAAGACCTATTGCTTTTTCAATGGATTTCAGGTACTTTTGATAGCTAATATTATCTAGCTGGGTTAATTTTGTCGATTTGTTAATGTTCTCGCCGGCCTTGTAACTTGTTAACAACTTGTCTACATAGGGTTTGTGCTGGCTGCAATATGGAGATTGGTCATGGAAGATTTCTGAATTGCCTTAATGCATTGTGGCATCCAGAATGTTTTCGATGTTATGGTTGCAGTCATCCGATTTCTGAGTACGAGGTGAAACCAAGCTCTTCCAAATTCTATTTTATTTGGGTTGTACTTAACCTTCAAACTAATTTATAACATGTTTTCCTATAGTTCTCAACATCTGGTAACTACCCTTTCCACAAGGCTTGCTACAGGGAGAGATATCATCCAAAATGTGATGTGTGCAGCCATTTTGTATGTATACCTTTAGCCTTTCCATCGTTGAAATTCATGTATATATATATGTGTGTGTTGTTTTCTTCGGATCTTGCACTTATCTTCACTTGCTTTCTTTTTTTCCAAATGTAAATTTTTTGGACAGATTCCAACAAATCATGCTGGTCTTATTGAATATAGGGCGCATCCCTTTTGGGTCCAAAAGTACTGCCCTTCCCACGAACACGATGCTACCCCAAGATGTTGCAGTTGTGAAAGAATGGAGGTGAGTTTTCTTCTCTGTAAAATGTCCCCAAACATGCATCTGGTCAAAGTCAACACTATTTGTGGGCGGGAATTGACAACTTAGCTTTATTTTGTAGCCAAGGAATACGGCATATGTTGAACTTAACGATGGACGGAAACTTTGCCTCGAGTGTTTGGACTCAGCGGTCATGGACACCAGTCAATGCCAACCTTTGTACTTACAAATACAAGAATTCTATGAAGGACTTATCATGAAGGTAGAGCAGGAAGTTCCACTCCTCTTGGTTGAGAGGCAAGCACTTAACGAAGCCAGAGAAGGTGAAAAGAATGTGAGTATATAAAAAACAATTTTACTTATGCAATACTTGAAATTATCATCACACTTTGCATTTTTTTCGAAGTGTATAACTTTTAATTGTTCTTTCTAGGGTCACTATCACATGCCAGAAACAAGAGGACTTTGCCTTTCAGAAGAACAAACTATTAGTACTGTAAGAAAGCGATCAAAGCATGGCGCAGGAAATTGGGCTGGGAATATGATTACAGAGCCTTACAAGTTAACACGGCAATGCGAAGTGACTGCCATTCTCATCTTATTTGGGCTCCCTAGGTAAGAGACTTTCCGTTTCCCATTGAATTGATCTTTTATCTTTTGACAGTTATGTCATGGGTCCAAACAGTTTTGCTGAATTTTGTTTAGGTTACTCACTGGTTCGATTCTAGCTCACGAGATGATGCACGCATGGATGCGGCTTAAAGGTGAGTTTTGTACTCTTATTTCTTAATCTATTGCTTCTTCTCTTGTTTCACATGTTGAGTTGCTATCACATTGTGGACTTAAAAAGGATTCCGGACGCTGAGCCAAGACGTTGAAGAAGGTATATGTCAAGTGATGGCTCATAAGTGGTTAGAAGCCGAGTTAGCTGCTGGTTCAAGTAACAGCAATGCCGCATCATCTTCATCTTCTACTTCTAGAGGACTGAAGAAAGGACCCAGATCTCAATACGAGAGGAAGCTTGGTGAGTTTTTCAAGCACCAGATCGAGTCTGATGCTTCTCCGGTTTATGGAGATGGTTTCAGGGCTGGGCGGTTAGCGGTTCAGAAGTACGGTTTGCGAAAAACACTTGAGCATATACAGATGACCGGGAGATTCCCGGTTTAAGAACCCAAATGGACAAATGTCTTTTGCTTTTGGATTGGGTTTTCTTTATAGGATCCTTGGTAGATTTATATGCTCTATTCTTTTGGTGAAAAAAAAAAAAGAAATCTCTCAACCATATATTCTTGTGTGATTGAATTATAGTGTAATCATTCCATGATTCTTTTGTATTTCTGTTAATCCATCAGAATCAGAGTTTTCTTTGTAAATGCTCTCAAATCCAAAATTAGGACATAAACCGAACCAAAGACTCTTAGTACCATTTAAAGGTTTCTCCTTTACACTATACCATTGTCGAAACAACCACGAGAGGATGCCGTATTGACTAAATCATATTGATAGACGAGGGTGATAATATTATCCAAGTATTATGAGCAAACATCGGCACTACTCTGGCCATTCAATAGCTCAATCACTCTTAGGATAATACGTTCTCCACGAAAGTCATATTGACCGTTGTATTGACATCCACTCGTGCTTATCTAAAGCAACGAAGCATAATCTCGACCTCCGGGATGGACGATAGAAACCAGAAGTTTGAAGGTCTGGAAAACTAAAGGACTTAGAAAGACATTTAGAGAGAGAAACTTAGAGAGATATTATTACAAAGAACTGCACTTTGAGGTCGGAAGTTTAATGGGCACCAAGGTTTTTGGGTTTTTA